ATTACTACATCACTTACTTCAAAAATGGTTAAAAGAGAAGAGTTTGGTATGAAGTAATATTTGTTTTTTTTTATAAAAAAATTTTACATTATAGAATGTTAAAATTACTATTTTTGTATGATTTCTTATTTACTTTTTTGTCAATCAAATAAAAAATTGCGTTTTCAACTGAATAAGCTTGTAAGTTAAGATTTTTAATTATTTAATTTACTTTTTGATTAATTTTACATGTAGGTCGATTAAATTCAATTCAAGGATTAGTTAATACTGGAGAGTCATTTATTCTGGTTTCGTTATACAGCACAGTGTACAACTTTACGTTTGAATATATAACCGGAGCAGTATTTTTGATGAACGTTATACTTACATTACCACTTTTATTCATATTCCTGTAATTATAAATATTTTAGTAAATAATTTTTAAGGTACTATTAAAAATGGGAGATAGTCAGTCAAAATCAACTAATCGGTAAATTTTCAAGATAGGTTCAATATTTTTTTTTTCGATTGTTTTCAAGAATTACCTAAAAATTACAAATATTTTAAATTCCATTTTCTATTAAAATAATTTACAATTAGGGGTAAAGCATTGCATACATACAAATAATTAAAATTATTTGCCTGAACATTATTGCTTGGATTTTTTGACTATATCATTAAATAAAATTTGCAGTTTATTATTTTCGTTTAAAGTAGTTAACGATTCAATTTATTATTTTTTAATACAGAATTTTTCTTAACTTGTAACGTAAATTACTAATGATTGAAATTAATAGAGATTATTTTAATTTATTAAACATTTTTTTTAATTGTATCTAATTGATTTTTCGTATAACTTGGTTTCTATATGATATTGTATATTAATTCTGCAATTTTTTAATTAATTTCCAGGACACTATTTTATAAATGCAAGCACATATGGTCAGAAGAGAAAAATATTGCTAATACATAATTTAAAATACATTTATTTTGAATTCGATCATGAGATAATTTATAATTTTATGTTATTTTTTTTTATTAAATTTAATATATATAAAGATGTTAAATTATTTTCAGTTGTTAAGTATTTTATTATTTGAATATACTACTTTATTTCTTGCTTAAATAAAAGTAAAAAATACATATATTTTAATGTTAATGTGTTAAATTTCATTGGTGGAATTTGTATCAATGATGAGGAGGAGTGAAATCTTGTTTTTTTTTTTATAAAAAACTGATTGATCCTTTAGTTTGTATGAGAAGTTTATTGGGAAATATTTGATGTTATAATTACTTTTTTTGTCTAAGTACTAATCCAATATAAGCGATTAGTACTTGGTTGCTATTGCGGGTAGAGTACTGGTTACAGACACGTAGATATGGGTGGGCCTGGCCCTCCGTAGATTTAATGTGACCCAGGGTCGGCCCCCCCAAATTTAAATTCAATTATTTTTACGAATTATCAAAAACGTGCTAGGCCTTATATACATTGAAATTATTTATTTATTTATTTTTATTTTAGCTTCGATGCGAATCTGAGAAGGTATTGGTTTTACTATGATGTGTTGTTTTTTTTTTTTTTTTTTTTTTTTTTTTTTTTT